ACATGTGAACAGTCCGGAACCAGTATGTATCCTTTTCAGCAAAGGTCGAAAAGTTTCCAGTCTGTTGCTGGCTTCATGGTGAAACTATCTGCATCACCCTCCCCATCAACTTCCAAGCTCTTCCAGTCAAAGGAATCATTCGACTTGTGCTTGTCCACAGACTCTTCATCCACAGACATTACTCGCCAATCAGGAGGGTCATCAGATGCACCCTTTCTCTTTCTTGATGAAACTGCTGACGACGATGACCTCTCGGCAACACCTGCCCCCTGGAGCCAGTAAGCCACTGCAGTGACACCCATCCTTGCCGGATATGCCCCAGAAAGTTTCAACAGCTGAGGCCGGCCTGTCACAGCGCCATCTTCTGTCCTGTCCACCAAACTTTCATGCACCTGGTTGGGGCAGGGACAACTTCGATGTAGCCGTGTGATCCACTCGGGTCCTGCAAGCTTAAACAGCTTGCGCCAGCGTTTCCCGAAAGGTCGAGAGTCGAATGCACACCTCGCCACAGTAGACCAATGAGGCTGAAAATGTTCAAAGGCAGCAACAATCGCCGGAAATCTCCAGAAAAGGCTTCCTGCAGGCTGCTCAATAACAACATGTAAGTTTCTCACCTTGCCCACTATGTAAAAGGCAGCCGCCATCTGAGCGAAAATATTGCCCTCGTCTACAGGCTGGTAGCCTGTGTTGCCCGTGATATCATGAAGCTTCCGCAGACACCTTGAGGAGTTCATGAACACCCAGCTGTCACAAGGAGGTCCTAGCCAAAGCAAACCATTTGGTCGCACTCGCAACAAGAAACCTATGCATCGCCGCAGCCCAGACATCGTGAGCAGATCTACATTGCCAGAGCTGTCTTTGTCCACCTCCTCAGCCATCAAGCCCTTCTTTCTTGCCGCTGCAGCAATGGAGCCAACCCCACTCCATATTTCCAGAACATCGATATCTTGAGGGACAGAGGGAGACTCCAGCACTTCTGCAACAGTCATTGTCTCGAAGACCACCATGTTCAGCAGGGAAAAAGGCAACATGACGATCGAAGTCTAATTTTTAGTCAGCATGCCTAATGGATGCCTGTTCCTGAGCTCTGCCTGTTGCAATCTAAAGCAAGCATAGGTCATGGAGGGGGCTGCCTTGCTCTGACAAAAGATCTGAAATTCCATGCTTAGACGGAGGCCAAACTCCTAATTGGCTTCCTCTTGCTGGCAAAAGAAACAAAACGTGAGACTCGGAACGGACGTGGTTGCAACTCTGGCTCTTCAAGCTGTCTTGGCTGCTTCTTCAGCGCCGTTGTTGAGCTGCTTCTAACTTCTTCAGCGCCCCTGTGCTGGATGCTATCAGGACTTAAGGATTTGTGGCTGGCTACTTGAAACTTGTAGTGCCCGAAGTCACCTGTGTGTACAGTGGAGGCACCACTGGGAGCCCCACGAAAGTGTCTTGGTGTTGCACGAAGAAAACCTCAAGAGCCAGGATGTTGGGTGCAGGCATGACGCCTGTAGGTGCAAGAATGGGGTTTGAACTTTGAACAGTCGGACCTGCAAGCTCCCAACTCATCTGTGTCTTTTCCCTTTCAGAGCCCCATCTGCACACCGGCCATTCACCGTGCTGTGTCAGTGTCCCTTGCAGCCACACTGGCAAGTTGCTGCCTACCCTTGATACAGCACAGTCCCCGCCTGGCCAGCTATCGAAAAGTTGCCAACAGTGGCCAGCTGACTTCTGGCAAATGTGGATAGTACCGGTTCCCGGTCACCACCAATGCTGGATGCTGGTTCTGGCCTTCCTGGCTGAACCAACTGAGATCGGACTTCATGGATGCCGACACGGAATCCTTTGCGATGAGATTCCTCACTGCAACTGCAGCCCGGGGCTGGTTGATGGCATTACCATCCAGCATCTGAGCAAGATTTTCCAGTTCTTTTTTGCGATTCGTGTGCATCGCTCGTGGTGCTTCCAGCATCAAGTGGCGAGCTGGATCTGGGAGCAAGCTCGCTCGATCTGCGGGCAACACGAGGACTGGCCGATGGCATTCAGAATGAAACATTCTCGCCTTCGCGATACAGAATATGTCATTCGCATGCCCGCCTTGTTCGCACTGCAGAATGCGATCCGTCTCAAATGCTGTCATGTCCAGCCGGCGTTTGTACGAAAAGCTGTGCGCCGTTGCCTTCTTCTCGCCTGTTTCGGAATCCCGGCGATTTCTGAAAGTGTTCCCCAGTGTCACCTTCATTGTTTCCAACAGAGCTGCGAAGTCATGATTGGCCTCTATCTCCTCAATGAGCATCCTCTCTGGCACCTGGTGCACCTTCTCATCCTTCAGCTGCTTTTCCAAAAACTGCACTGCTTCAGAGATGCTGCTGAAATCAGCTCGTCGGAGCATTGGGCATAATCGACTGAAGAACCCATCAGCATCCTCATGGGTGTGTCCCTCCTGCAAATAACACAACTGCACAGTGGAGAAGTGCTTTCGTGCCACCAGCAAGGCAGCCCAAACATGCGAAGTGCAGTTTTTCGACAAAGCGACTGTGTTGTCGCACTGCAGGACTAAGTGTCCGGGCATGCTGCGAGAGGACTTGTGGATGGTCTGAAGCACTCTGCTGACCTGCTCGATGAAACAGTTTGCGCCATGGGTCACACGTTCGGAGTCTTGTAGAAAGACTCCGAGTGTGTGACCGTGTGCCATACACACCGTGACAACGATCCTGGGCCGGTTCTTTTTCTCCATCTCTGAAGAAATCCGACCGAATCTCCAGCGAGGGTAACACCATTTGGATTTGTCCATGGAGTCGGTCATTATCGTGAGCACATTCATGTGGCATCGGCTGGCATACCGCATCGTGTAGTACAACAAGCGGTCGTGGTAGGAATCGGCCATGTGCTGCCGCCACTGGGCAGCTATCTTCACTCGCTGCTCTGTGGAGCACTTGCCAAAGTGGAGGCTTTGCCTATATTCCCAACACTTGGTGCACTCTGTGTGATTGCTGGTGGGCCGGAACTTCAGAAGCCTGTCGGCCCACTGTCCAGACCAGACTTTCCAAAAGGTGCTCCAGGAGGGGATATACAGCAGTGGACTGCTGGGACGACCCTGCTCTTTGCTTCGCTGCATTCTGCCTTGTGTTTCTGCCCATGCCAAGAACTGAAGATATATATCTGACGGTTGCCCAGGCGGCAGCCATCTCAGTGGAGCCTGGGAGTGTGGGTTCAGCAGAGATGCTATTCGCTCAGCCACCGGGATTTCTGGTGTCCAAATGTACGTCTTGCCACCTCCAGCAGAGGCCTTGCTGATCTCGGCATCCACGTCGTTCAATGACTCCTCTTGGCCAGGTAGCTCCTCGGCTGCTGTCATATACAGCTCCATGAGGAAGTGCCGAACGAAGTCGGCTTGCTTGTGTGCTCTTGGCAGCTCGGAATTCTTGCCGCTTCTTCCATCCTCGATCCCATGAACAAACCTGCAAAGAGTCCTGTCACTGTGTCCGAGAATCTTGAGAAGTCCTCGAAAGCAGACTGGATGACCGTTGATTTGCCATGTGTGTCGCAAACCTGTCTCCTCACCGTACAGGCCGTGCAGGAGCATGATGTGTGTCTCTGCAGACAGATTGTGCCACGCTATGACAACGCTGGAAGTGGCTCGCTTGTCCAAGGCTGCCAGGCAGTTCTGCTTGCACCGACATTTGCTCTGCAGGACCCCGCTCAGCCGCTCAGCATCCTTGCCGTGCCTGACATAATGGTTGTCCTTGCCTGTCTGCACGGTCGGCATGCACTGCAGAAGCTCCTTGGTCAAGTTCACTATAGGGGCAGCTTTCTTGTCCTGAATGGAATCGGAATCGGAACGATCCTTGGAACCACCTTCATCCACTGGCAGATGTTTCCAGTTCCTTTTCTTGCTGCTCTCCTCTGCTTCGAGGGGCAGCTCTTTCCAGGAATTCCTTTTCTTGCTGCTCTCCTCTGCTTCGAGGGGCAGCTCTTTCCAGGAATCGGAAGGACAGGCCTTCCTTTTCTTGCTGCTCTCCTCTGCTCCGAGGGGCAGATCTTTCCAGCTTGCCATGCTTTAAAGGAAAAAGCGCTGGGTGGCTTTGACATTAAGTGATAAGTTACAAGGGAATGATTTAGGGTTTAAGGTGTAGGGTTTAGAGTCTCGACTCGCACAGTCGCAAAGTGGAGACCTTCACGGTGTACTGTAGGATTTACGGAAAACACATCACCATCAGAGTGGATCTCAAGCCTTAGCTCTGTCCATGATTTTGCTCGTTTTGTGACTGCCCCGCAACCTAGAAAGGAGTCGACCAGAACCCTGCTGCAAAGTGAAAGTCTGTCCTTAACAAGAGGGCTGCTTCTACGTTGCCACACAGAACCAGGCTGCTTCTTACTGCCTTGAATCACACAAACTAATGCGACAGGGTGGTTGCTTTCAAACAATCCTGCAGAAGGCATCTGAGCATCCTCACCGCGACTGAGATTCCAACCCGCCGGCCACATTCCAGGCCAGGCTCAACTCGGCTCAACCTCGATTCAATTGAGAGCTTCGACTCCAAATGAACTCAGATTTGAAACACTGTATGACGATGAGTAAACGGGAAACTGCTTCTTTTCTTTGGCTGCTTTTACAGCGCCACATGTACAGGCTGCTTTCCCAGCGCCACGGAACAGCAACTAATGATTTTAGTGGGGGAGTGCTTTCAAACAGTCCTGCAGCATGCATCTCGGGACCCCGATTACAGCTGAGATCGAGTCCATGGGCCAGTATCCCGTCTGACCTGGGCTGAAGCTCCGAAGTTCGACTGATTGGCAATGAACAAACGGCGAGCTCGTCCTTGTGTGCAGCTGCTTCTACAGTGCCACAAGGGCACAGGCTGATTTCCCAATTTTTCGTCCCCTCGCACATGACTGCCAGGGACTTCCCGGCAGTTGCCCCGATGCAAGAGCAGGCTCTGCACGTTACATGTGCCGTCTGCATCTTGTCAAAAGCCACACTGTATCACAGTGCTTAGCAAGGCACACCGCCTTCACTGCTGGCTCTCACACGGCTCGTCAACTGCACACTGGGATTCCTTCTCTCCGATGGGCTCAGCTCCGCTGGGCTCACCCAGCGCCTCATTTGCGGCATTTCCCGAAGCCTCTTGCTTCGACTTCTTTGCCCTTTCCGATTCTGGCACAGCTTTGCCCTCTTTCCATGCTTGCAAGGCCGCTCGAAACTTCTCCTGAACGGGACACGGGACTTTCAAGGATATCCCCTAAACCCTGAACCCTCAACCCCAAACCTGTCGATTGGAGGTCCTTGGTTCCATCCGACCTAACCTTTCAAGGTACTTCTAACTGGCAATGTCAAGAGTGAAGGACCCCCCACCTGGCCAGACACATCACGACGATTGTCTGCACTGAGATGGCCACGCATGCTTTTCAGGAAGCTGTCTTGGTTCGTGGATGTGCCTTTCTTCCGCTTTCCATTGGTGTCCTTTGCAACTTCCTGGAAATAGGCGTCACGAATGGCCATGAACTGCTCACGCAAGACAGGATCCTTGGGCGGCCTGTTGCCGGCGAACGTGTTCGCAGTGCCACGGCTGGCACGTGTTTGCTTGTCCTTGCCTCGTCCCGCACTGTTGTTCTCATCAGCAGCCACCTTTGGCTTTGACTTTGTCTTCACTCGGACTGCCACCTTCACAGCAGCAGTAGCTGCCAACTTCTGCTGCCTCGGGCTGACTGTGGCTTTCGAGGAGGGCGACCCGGACTGGGATGAAGCTCCTGGTTTTGGGCCGGGTGACATTTCAACTGCCACTGCTGTTTCCGGCACTGCACCCATCTTCTGGGACTGTTCATCTGGTTCTGGCACTGCACCCATCTTCTGGGAGACTTCATGACGAACTTCTTCCTCATCAGAACTCTGTTGCAGCCACAAGCTACTCATGCCTCCTCGAAATTTCGTCGGGTGTGGACACTGCAAGGACTTGAACCGAGAGAGGCCTATGCTTCAACACATTTCTCAATCAGATCTGCAATGATGGAGGTGCACTGAAGCGGATGCCGCTGATGGAAGTGCACCGAAGCGGAAGCTGAGCTCTGGACTCCAACACAAGCTACACACCTGGGTCACGGCGACATGCATATGTGGAGGCCCTTCAGCTGACTCAAGGACTGAAGCACACTTCTGTCTGCAATGTCTAACTGCTTCTGGTATGCCACACACTGCCTTGCAGCCTCTGTCAAGACGTTCATGCTCCGAGTCTTGATGCCACTGTTTCTGAAAGCTCTCACCCGACAGAGGCTGGACATCCGAGGTGCACTTAGGCAAGCAACCGCCCTTCAAACGTGCTCTGCACTGTTCACAGGCGGCTGCCGACAGGAAGCTTTCGGTTCCTTCTTAAAATCCAAGTGTCAGCCAAAACTGCTCCCAGTTCACAGGAGACTGCCGACAATCCATGTCTTGGGAATGCCACACAACTCTGGCAGGACTAGGCTGCTGCAGAAGTCAGCTGGTAGAGCTTGGACTTCTCGAGTGTCAATGGGCGCTTTAAGAACAAACCAGGTTTTTGAGGGTACAGGCCTTGCTGCTGCTTCGTGTCTAGATACTTGATGCGATGCATCGTCTTCGCATACGCACCCGTATCCAAAATGTCCATCATGGAAAGAGCATTCTGGAACCCGGGCTTCTGCTTCTGTGGAAGGGACTTCGCCTCGAAAGCACAGCTCTCAGTGTTCTTGACAGTGTACTTCTCATCGCCCTCCACCGTCTGGATGGAGTGTGCCACGAAGTGCGGTCGGAGAATCTTATGGCCTTCGAGATATGTCAGGAAGGTCTTGAGGCTGCAAATCTTGGCCTGGAAACCCGGTGAAAGGCTGTCGGATGTGTCATGAAAGAAGAAAGCTGTAGCCGATGGGTCGTCAAGCTTGAATGGCAACAACTTTCCCCCCTTCTCCTCCCGTGACGTGACCTCGGCACCGGTGAGAAACGATCCCCAACACAAAAGTAGTGGTGTGCTGGTGCCGATCTGGCCATCGCTCACAGCTTCAATCCACAGCTGCTTCGTCTGATCAAGGAGCAGCCTGAAGGGCGGGTTGCTGATGTCCTCCGGTACAATTGTGACGACGGGCTTGGCCAGTTGCTCAACCGATGTTGAGCTGGCTGACAAAACAGGGCCTTCACCAGCGCCAACCTCATCATCAGGCTGCGTCTCAGCCTTCCTCTTTCGCGGATTGAAAGGCATGCCGCCGGGATTGTACTTCTCATTGTGCTTTGCGATTGTGTTTTTGAACTCTGCTTCGTGCGCATTGAAAGCCATGGCCTCCAACTTGTCCTGCCGGAAGGGAAGGAAGTACTTGTCATTCTCTGTGACCGGGATGGTGTACTCGAAATCCTTGTCGTCGAAGCTGGGGAAGGTGGTCTCCAGCAAGTCCTTGGGCACGTAGTTCTGCTTTTCCAGCAGGTTCCTGTAGTCTTTCTTGATCAACTCCTTCAGAAACCGACGCTGCATCGTCGTCAGATACTCAGTCATGGACTGCCGGCAGTCAGTGCCATTGTCGTCTTGTGCCCACACCATGGAGACCAGCCTGGTGGGCGGAAGTGGTGCAGCTGCATCCAAACACATCCTTGTTCTCACCTGTGCAAAAGATGTGTCATACGCAAAGAGATCCACCAGGAGCAGAGGGGCATTCGCTGTTGAGGCAGACAAGCCGCGCAGCATCCGGGAGATCAACTTGGAATACAGGCCCTCGCCACTCAAGGCCTGCTTCATGCGCTGTGCCCTCGACGTAGTTGCAGTCATTGCATTCAGGTCTGGAACCACATAGTCGGCTACAGGGGCCAGGGGGATATCCGTCACGGTGCGCCGGTACCACACGAAGGAAGAAGCAAAGTGGGACACCATTGTCCCCTCGGGGTCCACAGTCGGGGAGATGCACATGAACATCTCGTGGTACCTTACTTAGGTCTGGCAACATGTCCAAATTAGACATAACTGTGCAGAGAATGCCTGCTTCCAACTCCACAAGACAACAAGGTGCCCACATCGCCGCGACTGATTCGCGAGTGAGCTTTCGGCCATCACCAGAGAGCACTTGCGGTATGCGAGTGCTCCCTTAAGGTTCTTGAGCTCGGCCTCGACACTGTCTGTTGCCGCTTCTGCGTCACCTTCTCCATAGGCGGAGCCCCAGACCCCTGTGTTCGGGGCAAAGATGATGGCAGCTGTCGATCGTGGGAAGGCTGCGATGGTGTCAGCCACTATCTGATTCGTTGACAGAAGATGCTTGGAGAAAGCTGTGCCCAGCTTCGTCAAGTCCACCAGGAGGATGGTGTTCAGGGTCTCCTCTGTGACATTCTGCTTCATGGCAAAGTCAGCAACCTGGTGTAAGACCTTCGCAGCCACGTAGGATTCCTTCCGCACAAACAACGTGGGCATCCACTCATGCAGGTACTTCCCTGCGGCTTCCTGAAACTTCTCCTCCTCCTCCAGAAGATGCTGACGCTGGTCAGCCAGACGAGTCATTTGGTGCTGACGGACCCGGCTGACGAAGTCATCGAAGATGGTCGTTTCCTTGAGGACCTTGGTCTGCCAGGCTTTCAGCTTTGCTTGCTCCAAAGCTTCGTTGGCCTCCGCCTCGAGCATGGCTACTGAGCGGACTGTCGTGCTGCTGCCCATCAAGATGTTTGCGAACTGAAAGCTCTCCACAGTCAGCTCCGGATCCTGGCTCCGCATCTTGTCCGCAAACTCCCGATCGTAGTTGCCCTTCAAGAAGTTCGCCTCTGCTTTAGCAAACAGGGGGCCCAGGCTGTCTTGCAGTTGAGTCCTGAAGTGGCAGAAGAGAGCACACATCGCATAGGCCTGGTCGGGATTCGTATCCCGCATCTTCGCAGCTTTATTGCGAAGACTGAAGGTTTGGCCCTTCTTTGTGGTCCGGACAGCTTCCTGCACATTTTGCAAGAAAATAGTCACCTCTCTGCGCAACCAGAAGGTGTTCTTCTCTGCTGTCCGCTGCAAAACGCTCGCCCACAAGCCGGTGTCATCTGATCTGGTAGTAAGCTGAGGATCCAGGGTGGAACAGAGGGTGCGCAGGGTCACCGCCGACTCGGCCGCCTTGAAGGAATCCCAATGAGCCTCCAGCAGCTGCAAGAATGCTGCCTCCTGCTGCGGGAGCAGCTGCAACATGCGAGCCTCGATGTCTGACAGCCTCGCTGCCTCGACGGAGGACTTCGAGTTGAAGGCCTGGATGAACTTCTTGATCTCAGTCACGTACCGCAAACCCTGAGCGGTGAAGGATTTGTCTAAGCCGACATACATCTGCAAAATGTCCGGGCGGGTGCTCTCTGCAACGATGAATTTCTGCCGCATGGAATGTGCGACCTGCTCCCCAGCCGGAACTGATGGCTCCATGCAGCATTTGATCTGCAGGCAAGCTGCAATCTCGTTTTTCACAAGACTCAGCTCATCATCCTTCAGCCCCAGCCCTAGCAGACAAACAGCCTTGGCCGCCACTGAGCGAGTGCAACCGATGGACACAGCAAAGGCAAACTCCAGGTCTGCAGGTGGGCTTGCAGGCTGCAGCACTGACAACGGGCTCCTTTGGGACACGAAGACATTCTCCAAGAAGTTCTTGGCCCCCTCCAGAATGTTGACCTGCTTGGGCCATCCGCGCAGCATGGAGAGGCCCAACTGCCAAGAGAACAACCAGAATTCTGCGGTGCCAGAACCATATGGCACTGCAATCGTCTCCGCTTGCCACGTGACACCCATTGCATCCAGTCTCTTTTTCATGTCCTTCAGCTTGTCCACGAGGTCACGGGAGCCCATGTCCTCCAAGTACTTCATGACGTGAAGGGCGCCGGAGCTCGCTGTGATGTCCTTCCTCGCAAAGAGCTTCCGCATCTCTGTATCCAGCTTCTTGAGAACTGAGGATTTCTCCATCCTGTCAGACAGGCATAATGCCCTCTCCAGGCCGAACCCTGCAAACTTTAAAGGAACAAGGATTGGCCAGTTGACCACACCAACCCCGGCCCAGCAAATGACAGTCACAGCCGCCAAAACTTGGGACACTCATTAACGATCCAAGACTTGGTGGCTACGGGGGGTGTAGGCGCCATTTCTCATAGGGAAGGCAAATGTAGAGCCAATACTCATGCTGCTAATGCTGCCTGCCAGAAATGGTGCGACATTAGGATCTCCTATGTGACTTGGTGGCTACGGAGGGTGTAGCCGCCATGTCTCAGATCGTTAATGCTGCATGCATGTATTGGTGGCTGTGAGAGTCATTAGCACGAATAGCCGATCTCTGCACCTATCCCTCATTTTTCCCTAAAGTCGTAGATTCCTCTGCCAAGCAAAGTCCTCGAAAGGACTACAGACAATAGCCCAGCTATGCATTGAGTCCTGGATGCTCTGAGCAATGCCAGGCCACCACAATCACTGCCAACGAGTGCAGCTGAGTGGGAACAGCTGCGAAGTTCACACCGGCAATGAATGCAAAATTCCGTAGTAGGTCAGTGTCCATGCGCACAGAGCCCCTAACTCAATTGAAGCCTGGCAAGGGCCCGACCTCCGACTCTGCAGGTCCCTATCTCGACCTTGACTCATGGGTTCTGGTTTTCAGGCTTGCAGGACTGCCAACATGATGGTGTGGCTGATTGGCTCATTGTTTCTCAGCCGATATTCTGGCTGCTTCTTCAGCGCCATTCCTTTCGGCTTAGCTGCCTGCTCGGCGCCACAACAAGCGAACTCTAATAGCACCCTCTCTCTCTCTTTCTCTCTCTCTTCCCTCACTCCATCTCCCCTCCTGCCCCCTGCGCAGACGTCGTATCCTGATACTACTCAAACGGAGCGGACGTGCCGGACTCTCTCTCCCTCCCTCTCTCTCTCTCTCTCTCTCTCTCCATCCCTCTCTCTCTCTCTATCTTTCTCTCTCTCTCTCTCTCTCTCT